GTATAGGACGCAAGCAGACTTTGACATCAAATTTTAGGGTAAAAAAGTGCGTCTTATACACCAAAAAATATGGTAGTGTATATAAAATGACAAAGGTTTAGCTTGATGATATTCTGAAACAACTAAATTATTTACCAAATTTTATATTTCAAATATTTTTGATCTAGACATCTTTGTTAAACAACAAGCATTTACAGTATAGACTATTGGTTAGCTCATGAAGACCATTGTTATTTGAATTTTGTTTTCGACAAATGCATGATGAAAATATAATCATTTTAAGAGGTTTTTGGTTTTATTTTAAATTAGGAACAGTCCTAAGAATAAGAAGAACAATGCTTTTTTTCAGTTATGTGTTATTGGGATTTGAAATTGTTTTCATTATTTTATAGTTAGAGTTATTGCCAAATAAGGGGTGTTTAAAAGAAACATCTATAAATTATTGGTTAAACTTTCACTACTTTGAAATGCAGATTAATCTAGCATGCACAAAGTTTCATATTCACATAAAACCAGATTTATACTAACTAGACCACACAAAAACTAAATAATCCAAACTTGAGCTTCAAAATTATAAATGAAGTCTCTCTAGAAATGTAAACTCATCTATTAAAAATGTTATTAATGTTGTTATATCAACATCTTTTAAGTTTTAAAGTAGTAACATTATTTGGATAAAAGGTTTTGGACTATCAGTCAAATATTATGTCATTATTGTTTTTTGCAAAGATTAGTTGAAGTTTACATACAGCAAACATTATTAATTTTCACTTGCAATACATATTTGATTTTAGTGTGTATAGTAGAAAGTGCTTAATGAAACACGATAATACATTTTTCATATATGCATGTCAGTAACTATTAATAGATGTTAATTTATGTGCCTTTTCTCTACTAGAATGGTTCTTTGAGTTTGGCTTTGTGATACCTAACTCCACAAACTCATGGCAGTCATTGATTGAGGCAGCTCCTGAATCCCAAATGATGCCAGCCAATGTACTGAAGTATGTAGATCCAGAAACTTAGTTATATTTTTATTGCCAAAGTGTCATAACAGTGTCAGGCATACTTTCCTTCATATGATTTTTATGTCTTGTGTTCAAATCTTTTGTGACATTTTTATTTATTTTTTAACAATTCCTGGTAGTGTAATTATTACATAATGTATCAAAAACACATGTCAGTTAGCATTTTAACAAGTATCTTAAAGCCAATTCTTTGAGTGAAGCTAAAATATCAATAATTATAGTAGTTTTTATTTCTCTAATTTGCATTCTTTATTTGCTGTCCTACTTTATGAAATTTCATATTTAGTTTTACATGAAACATACTATTAAAATTTTAGTAGAAAAAAAAAAAGCTGTTTTAACATTAACCTTGAGGTTATATGACAGCTACTGGTATAAATATATTTGTAAATCAGTTGTTCTTTATTTTTTCATTATGAATAATTTAAGATTCTGATGATAATATAGTCTGACATGCTGTTTTATTTATTTATTTTTGTGTGTGTTTAACTAATGTTTAACTTTTTGTTTTAGTTGATATTTTGCATTGTCCTTTAATTATAATTGTACAACTTGTATTGTTTTCATTTCAGTGGCAATGTAATAATAGAAACAAAGTTTTTTGATGATGACCTTCTAGTCAGCACTTCCAGAGTGAGATTGTTCTATGTATAACAGAAGAAAGTAGTTTTTCCAGTCTAAAGTTGATTGTAGAAAAGCACTATTTGAACAAATCACTTCAGGCAATTACTCAGGAGTTTTTAAAGTGCACTTTGTTTTCCAAACATTTATTTATACATTTCCAATAGAGTAGTTAGGTTGAGAAAAGACAATGCATTTTATTAAGATTTTTCTGTTTATAATTTCCTGTAGCTTGATGTAATTCATTGAAAAATTTGATTAACAGCAAGAAATATGTTTAGTATACAGAAGTTTATTATTGTTGTTTATTTTATCCACATGAAAACCTAACTAAAAATTTCAAATGTAATTTCAGCTCTTTTTAGAATTTGTTGTTATAATTTTTGAATCATAGTTTTGTAAGTGTTATGTCTCTAGGTCTCATAATTTTATGTATTCAATACTGTGAACTTTTTCTGCAGTGTAGACCTTTATATTGGAAGAATAACTTTATAGTTGTAGTAAGAAATTAAAAGATAGATAAATAAAACTGGGAACACTGTATCTGAATAGCATTTTTCTGTTTCTTATGTACCTGTCAGAATCACTTTGAAGAGAAATTAATATAAATATTGATTACAGGAACAAGATTTGCATGTTAGTCAAATTTTATTTGTAATTACTGCTGAATGTTTAGATTGATAATTTTGTATTTGGTTGTTTCATAAATACATTCTGCTAACTTCTGACACTATACTTTATATTGTAAAGTTTATTCAAGATATCTGTATTATAAATCAGTATTGTAATACTGCATAATTGATTTTAAATAAACATGAAATAAAGACAGCAAATTGTCTATATTAATTTATAATAGTAACGTATCTAAATAGAAATTACATGATAAACCTTTAGGATAATGTATAATCTATCCTAAATTATTTGTATTTCATCATGTTAAAAAATCCAGTAGTTACTAATGAAAAATGTGTGTTCACATATTAGCTTTGTCAGAGAATTTTAGATACTTAACATAATTAGACAGTAGTAGTATGATAATTTTTTTTATCTTACAGGGTGGGGCAAAAATGACCATGCAGTTGTTTTATTTAGAACATAGTTTAATTTATCATGTTTTACTCTGAAACAAACAATATTTAAATTATGTTTAGATGTCTCGGTAATATTTTCTTTATTATCAACTGTACAGTAACTTTTGCCCCAACCTGCATAGGCTTTATATTGTAGGTAGTGTGTGTGTGTCTCTAAAATTCATTAATGTAAAGAAAGTAATGTCAAAAATTACACCTTATCTAATATATAAAAATATATGCAAAAATAAAATGTTGAGTAAATATTAGTTTGAATATTTCACTTCAGATTTTAAATTTTCTATTGTAAAGTTCTCACTGGATCACTTTTAAGCATTTAATAAACCAACTACAATGACACCAATCTACAATTATATATTAGTGAACACCGAGTCAGGTAATTAAAATATTTTTGCTAATAATTTACAGGCTGTTTTTCTTATCACAGATGAACTTGTAAATTAGGTATCACTGATCTTTTTAAGTGTTATTTATTGAAAAGTATGTTAGTTATAATATTTTAATAAAGTTTCCTTACCACCTTTTGTACTACTTATTTAAAAATTGAATATAATTTTGAAATGATCAAATGGATGTTTTTTTTATAATTACTTATGAAATAATTTGTATGGGACTTATTGATAAATGTGACTGGATATTTTACTTCTTAGAAGTACAAGTAAAATCTATTATCATCCCAAAATTATTTAATGTATTCCAGATAATGCTCATTAAGAACTTTTTGTATATGCTTTTCTGCAGTAATTCATCATAACATTGTTTGATATTATGGAAAAATGACTAAACTCTAGTGATGGAAAATATGAATATTAAATACAAAGTGAAACAATTCATCATAGTATTTCTAGTTTAATCTTTTTAATGTTATTATTTTCATTTAGATAACCTATTTTTATTCATTTCATTTTTCAGTCATGGATTTGGAAACCACAGCTTATGTGTGAATAAATAAAGAAGCTGATTAAAATCTATATTTATAATTAACACTGTTAGTTTGATGAATTAAACGTGTTTTGAAATGATATAAACAATTGCATATGTAGAGTAATATCTAGTACATAAATATACAGATTGGGATTGATTATTAAAGCTATTTCTTAACTTTTGAAGAAGATTTGTCTGGTCTACAAAATGATGTGCTTGTTATGTTGTACTGTATTATGTAAGTTGGTGGTCTTAAATGATGAAAATAGAAAGATTGGGATAAAACATTTGTAAAGGAAAGGGAAATGTTTGGTTAGTATTTTGACCAAACAACCTTTGTCAGGACTTTTGTGTAGTCACGATGAAGATTGTTTGGTTGGAACAGTGATTACATATTTCTCATTTGATTAGAACAGTTTTATTAATTTCTTTGTATTTTTCGATTTTATCATACAGTAGCTGTATTTTGTTTGATACTGATGATAAATACTGTATAATGCATAACCGTCATCCACTATATAATGTTGTAAAATCATGACCCAATTTATGATGTATACATTATTATTTGTAAATAAATTACTGGTAACTTGTGATCAAAGCAAGTTGTCTACATAGATCATAACTGAAACTGAATCTGGTAATGAGTAAAGCCAAATAAATACATTGTTCTGAAGTTCTTCCTTATTGCACTACTAACAAGCTTTGTAACTTAATATATATATATATTTGTTGTTTTTTGTTCAGTGGCACATACTAAGAAAGCTGCTGTTCTATTCATTAAGATCTCATATACGTGCACCAGCCATCTTTGTCTCCAGTTTGCTGCAGCTTTTCATCCTGGTTATAGTAGTCTGTTATTTAACTCTAAAGTTTGATAAGCAGTTCATACACGTTTCTCAACCATTATGATTTGATGTTGTGTTCCAAAGTGTAGTGCTCAATAAGCAAAGGTTATAAATGGCTTACATTTCCCTTGAAACTCCAATATCCCATGTATTGCAGACAGTAAAAGTGAAAAAAGACAAATCAAAATCACCTTCAAGCAACAAAATATACGAGGTAGAATGGTATGGTAAATTGGTAAACTTTTCAGTTCATAACTAAATGACTTAATACGGACATTTTATCTCTTCTTTAATTTATATTTTTTTATAAAAATTATTTTTGTTGATATTCACTTTCACAAGTCTAGGTAAATAGCTAGTGTGTAGACTTACCAATCTGACAGCAAGCGAAGTTTCAGTTTAATAACAGCACTAACTTAAGCATGTCATATAGAAGAGTTTCAGGCAGCTGCAGAATTTCTTGAGTGCAGTCTCATTTCATTATCATATTTTTACTATCTTACATTAAACCAATTTAATGAATTAATAGCTTTGTTTTGAGTTTACTTATTGATTATAAACGTTTTTGAAGCTAAAGTACTGTATTGTTTAAATAAAAGTTATTACACTTCAAGCATATACAGTGATTTGAATAAACTGAAATAAATTTAAAAAATATAATGTAGTTACCATCTAAAAAATGTGATTCACGCCACCAAATTATTGTTTTGTTTTTTTTGCAGTATGAAATATTTTTTCTTGTGTGCTTCTATCAGTTTTGCAACATTTTACAACGTTTTAAGTCTTAAACATCCAAAGTATTAGATAAATTTAGATTCTACTTTAGCTTCATCAACTGCTAAGGAGCTAACTGACCAGCACAAAATTTTTTATCAGTTTTTTTTGGAATTTCTGGGTAACAAATATGATGGCCAGACACACTTGTTCAATCACAGAGTATTTCTTCTCACTCTTCAACAGCTTTTTACTGATGTACATTATGGGAAATAGTCCATTTTCATGCTCTTGAGAAGTACTGCTCCAATTGCAATGTCTGATGCATTGGTCTGAGTGATGAACGGTTTGTTAAAGTCTGGCATTCTAAGGATTGGCAAACTACCTAACACATTCTTCAACTTCTGTAATGCCATTTGCTGTGGTTGTTTCCACTTCACCCTGTTGGGTTGTTCTTTCTTGGTCAGGGGTGCAGTAATTTCAGCATAGTTTGAGATGTACTTCCTATAGTATCCTGCTAACACCAGGAAGGATCTGACTTGTTGCTTGGTTGTCAGAGCTGGTGCATCTTATATGTGGGTTAGCTTCTCTTCTTCCATGGCTATTTGTTGTGTCCGAGAAAGTCCAGCACAGAATATTCACTGTATCACTTAGATGGTCAGACCTGCTGCCCTCACTCATCCAAACAACTCTCTGAGTTTCTTCAGTTGATCTTCCCATCTGACTGTATGGGTCAGAATGTTGTCCACATAATGCTTGATGTTGAAGGTACTGTGCAACATCTTCCTCATCATGTGATTGAATGTCATTGCTGAGTTGACTAACCCAAATGGCATCCTACTGAACTGGTAGCATTCATCTGGTATAACAAAGACTGTCTTCTCTTTAGGTCCATTAGAATTTGCCAATAAGCTTTACTGAGGTTGATATTGGAAAAGAACTTGGCCTCATCTAGTTTTGCCATAATAACCTCTTGGTTGCCTATTGGTTCAGAATCAAATTTCGTCACAAGGTTCAGCTTCTGGAAATCTATGCAGAAGCAGTTTAGCTGTCCCTCTTCTTCACAGTTCCCACTGGTGGACAGTAGACTGCATTCAAAACCTCATTATTTCTAACTTCTAACATTGCCTCGATTTCTTGCTTGACCAGATCTCTCATTGCATGAGGCATCTGGTAGGAATTCACTTTGATTGGATCCCTGGTCATGGTCTCGATGTTATGCTGCACAAGTCTTGTCTATCTATCTGTGAAGACATTTGTGTACTGGCACAGTAAATCTTGTAGCTCTTTCTTCTGCTTGCCAGTCAGTTCTTCACTGATGTTGATGTTCTTGTATGTCTCATCTCCACCCAGTGATTTTAGGTCTAATAGGTTTTCAGGTTCTGTGTCTATAACAGCCACACTTCCAATGTCTATTTGAACTTCAATAGCTGCACCTGTTAGATATTCTTCCCTCTCAAAATGCCTCTTCAACAGATTGTATGGTATATCTTGGTCTCCCTATTCACTTTCACTTTATAGTCTATTCTGTTGACCACTTCCTGATCTTCAAAAGGTCCTTTCTGTTGTAGGGTGAATTGGTTGTTGTCTGTGTGTAGTAGAACTAAGACCTTCTGTCCAACTTTGATATGTCGATCCTTGGCTTTCTTGTCATAGAAGTGCTTTTGACTGCCTTCAGCTCCGCACAAGCTCTCTCGAGTGAGTTGATAGGTCTCCTCTAGTGGATATCTGAGGTCTAACATCTACTGTGTTCCTCACTTTTGACTCTTCTCCTGTCTACAGTTCTTTCAATATCTGTATCAGACCTTGTACTGTTCTTCTGTATAGTAACTCTAAGGGTGAAAAACTGTACTTGCTTGTGGGACTTCTTAGTAAGCATATAATACTGCCTGCAGGTACATGTTCCAGTCACATGGTCTCTCTTGGCACATCTTTAGTGCATGTTCTTTAAGACCGTTAATTCTCTCACAATGTCCATTACATCTGGGGTGGTAAAAAGCTATCTAGTACTGATGAGTCTGCACGCATCTTGTATCAGTTCTGAGGTAAATTGAGTCCCTCTTTCACTCAAGATTTCTTTTGGAAAACCTACTCTGCAGAACACTTCTAGGAGGGCTTCTGCTACTCTTTCTGTCTCTATATGTATCAATGCTATGGTTTTTTGGTAATGTGTTGCATAGTCAACTACTGACAGCACATACTAGTTGCCCTTGGCAGATACAGGTGCTAGTGGTTTGATCAAGCCCACAGCTACTCTCTTGAATGGTTCTTTTATGAGAGGTGTAACGGGTAGGCCCTTAGGCTAGTCATTTGAGCTTCGACTTTATTGCCAATTACACCAAATTTATTTAAATAGAGGAAAGCAGTGGCAAGTGGAGCTCACAAGTCACTAACTTGAGGTGATTTATGGTTAGACTAAAGAAAACAACTCTGAGACAGATTCCACAAAATACATCAATTTTATTTAAGTTCTTACTTAGAGCATACGCTCTTTATCATTAACAATCGGTTAGTTCTTTAGTAATCAAACTTTCGAGTTAATTGTTACCGTTAATATTTTCTTAATCTACACATATTACAGTTATTATCTTCTTTTATATAACTCACTTCACTACTTTATTCTTAACTACATTAGTTGAGCAAAAGAAATAGCAATTTTAACTTACAACTTATATCAAAGTTGGGGAGGTGTTCCATTGTAAGTTAGATACTTTCATCATTTTCGAATGTAGAGGACCTTCCTGGAGAACTTTCAGCTTTTTCTGGAGAAGAGCTTCTTAAGAACTCAAGAACTTCTTTCTCTGCTCCTCGAGAACTGAACTCCATGTTCCAGACAAGATTTTTTATATGATATTTTCTTGTATTCTCACAAGTTCCCAAGTACTATGCATAACTATCTGCAAGTAGTTCTGACAACTCATTGCTTAATTTCTGCAACTCATCGGACTTTACCACACTCTTAAGTAATTGGTTACTATGAGGGTGAGTTAGTTGGTTGCCTTCTTACTTATACCATTACTCAAGTCTGCAGTAATGGATCTTACATCAAAGTTCCAATTTTAGATGCCATCATAAACTTTTAGTAGCCTTTTCTATACTACATCTGTACTTTTCTATCAGCTTCAATAACTTATCACTGTCAAACTTGTAACTAGCGTTTTTCTCAGTGTCTTTACAGAGGTGCTAGGTGTTGGTTCCATTTTTTATAATTCTTTAACTCGTGATTCTCAATGATAACTAACTAGCTGACTATGCTTTGCTTAGCTCTTGACTTAATTTTCAATACAGGCATTCTTTCTTACAACATTTTTCCACGTGTGTACCACACCCAGAAACCTAAATGTTCTTTAGTTTCTTTCTTAAAGACTAAAAATACTGAAGCAATTGTATGAACTATTTAATAATACCCAATTGCTTCAGAGGCATCTCATCTTACCTAATGGCATCTTGACTACCTTTCCTCTAAGCATTGTCCTTTGGCAGATCTCGCATGACCTGCAGAATCTGGTCACTTCTCTGATGGTCCCCAGCCAATGGAAGTTGCTGGTGATTTTGACTCATGAGCTAACTTCATCACTTGAGTCTAGTATTCTGTTGGTACTATGAGATGTTTAAATTCCCCAGTTGAACTGCTTTGATAGATCTGGTACAGCACTCCCTTCCAGCCATCTATTCTGTAATTCCTTTCCACTATGGTCTTGTGCTCGACTTTCACCTGGGCATTGTCCCAAAGTTTCTGCAGTCATTGTCCTTTATTTCCCATGGGATCTCACCTTTTGAGATTTGTAGGGGCTTGATATCTTGCTTGCTCTTCTTCTCTTACATTGTTTTAGTGACTACAGACACTTCATTAGTCTCATTTCTGTATGGTTCATCCAAATTTCTATTTATGGAATATTGCAAATCACCAAGTCATAGATGGTTTCCTTCATAAACATGACCTCAAGTTCTCCCACATAGTATGGAATATCCACCTATATTTTTTGCTATAGGAAACTTTCTCACTGTCCCATCAATCAGCACACACAGATGTA